TTTTTTTTTTTTTTTTCTGTTTGTATTTCTATTCAGTTAGCCTGTTTCTATTTCTTCTCTTGTTCTTCGTTTATAAGTTTTTTATTTTCTTCCTCAGTATTTTTGTTTCCTTGCTCCACCTCACCCATGAACAAGATGTTCTTCTTGGCTGATGTCTTCCTCTTTTTCATAAGCAATTTTGTTATCTTTCTCGACTCCATTCTGTGAATATAACTGGACAAGACATTCTTCTTCGCATATATCTTCTTCTTTTCTATCAGTATTTTCGTTCTTTTTCTTGACTCCATTACTTGTATCTTCCTGGATGAGAAGTTCGTTGCAAATGTCTTCCCCTTTTTCGTCAGTATTTTTGTTCTCTTTCCTTAGGTCTTCCTGGACAAGACGTTCTTGGCTAATGTCTTTCTTGTTTTYATCCTCTTGCACTTTGCCGCAGATATCTTCCTTGGTGATTCTACCATTCTCTATTACGTCCTTACATTTGTTTTCCTCTCTTTCTTCCCTGACTTCTTTGTCCTCTTTATTGTCTTTCTTACCATTTTTTTCTTCTTCCATGTATATTGGATTTCCACAGAATTCTTTCAAGAACCTCCACTCCTCTTCTTGTATTCCTGACATGATAAATTACGATCATATCAGCACACTACAAGCGTTGCTTGGGTCTGCTGCATTGGTAAAGGGTGTTAAGCCCAAAGACACAATATTAGATATGCCCAAGGCTCAAAACTAGTGACTAACGTAACCCCATACCTTATATCTTTTGCAAAAAAAAGTCCCAGCCATGGAAAGACAACTAAAACAGCTTTCATTTCGGGCAAAAACCAAAAGATGTGTTATCTAGACACATTGTTGACACTCGTTCCCAACGCGCGGAATCGTAAGATTAAAGAAAATAAATCAAGTTCTCATGGATGCCAATTAAAGCCGGTTTTTATGACATTCCATTCACCTGGCTTTAAATACTTAGTTTTTTTTAGATGTTTTCATGGAAACATGCTGAAGGATGCAAAAGTTTCTTCGTCGCGAGGACAATCCCGCGCGTCACGGGTGTGATTTTACGAGGAATCTGCAAAGCTTGAGAAGGGTCAAAGGGTTTTGTAACTCGTTGCCTAGAATAAGTAAACAAATCAACTTTGTTTGGAGAGGGTGTGACACGTGACAGTCGAGACTGGTAAATAGCGTCCCTCTATTTTAAAAGTCTTTGAATGAGACGGGACCGCCATCTTACATGGTCATCCGAGCCACGGCTGCGAATAGGAACCGTACCTTGAAGATGGAAAAAAATCTGGGCGAAATCCAGCACCATTGCTCTGTTGTGGGCAGATATTCGTAGGGTTTTGGATTTATTCAACGTGTGGTACTCAATTTCTACGCCTGTAGCTTGAAGTAGGTTCGAGTCGTTCGCAGACAAAGGGCATTCTATTTGTATAGCCATCTCGTCTGTCTTTGAGATTCTATCGACCTGATAAAAAAGCAAAATCACAAAATATAAGATGACTTACTGAGGTTAAAAAAATGACGGAATATCTGGAATGGAGAGAAAGATCTAATTACCACAGGAGGCCCACAATAATTTTCTCAGCGGTAGCAAACCTAATTTCACCGACCTATGTCCAAGGGCGGATCGGGGGGGGGG